AAAAAAATAAATCATTATAAAACATACAGAATTTTGATATAGAATCATTAATTACGTATACAAACCTTAAAAAAAACATATCATTTCCTTATTTCAATTTCTTATAGGGCAAATATTATCAAAATTATGTACTAGATGGTGATAAATGTTACAGCTATAATGGAACAGTTTCAGATGTTGCCTTGGAAATGAAAGACAGATCCTTGATTTGGTATATTGTAGATGAAAAAGTGCCAGAACATATGCATATATTTTAGAATATTATTACAATACTTGTTTGCTCTCCTGCTCGAGAGTACTATAAAGAATTGGAAAAAGGTGGTGTTCTTATATATATATTATTGTGGGATGTTGATGAACTCGAGAAGGGATTCTATTGCATACTTGGACCTTCTGATAAGATTGAAGAAGAATATAAAAAAATGTGGTCTAAAGTAAAGCAATAGGGTCCAATTTCTTGTGTTATATTTTACCATAATCAATTCCTTCCTATTTTAAATCATAAAAAAGAAATATATGATATTGAAAAATTAGATGTTGCTTTGGGAAGATGTAGCATAAATATTATTCAGAAAACTATTTGGGCAGTTGCTACAAGGTCAAATAACATTAGTCATAGGATAATTCACATTAACACACTTAATTATTTATCAAGTAGTTACATATTTGTCTCAGTTTATATTGAGAAAAGAATAATGAACAAAATAATGACAGAAGAAAAACAGAAACTTAAGGAATTTTTACAAGCAAGTGAAGGTGAAGGACAAATATCACCAATAAGACGTACATTATTTGAAGGTGTTACACATAGATGTCTCCAAAATGGTGGAACATTCACTATACGTAATTTGGAAAATAAGACATTCTTACCACTGTTAATAGTTCTGCAACAGAGACCTGTCAAGTGGTTTCGTAATATTAAGATATTTCTTCAGATCATTACAACCGTCCAATTGCTCGAAATTTTTCAAGCAGTGATGCAATATCTCCATCAGACTATATCTACCAAATTACAATTTCAAAAAATTATGCAATCAAATGGGCACTATTAGAAGCAATTATTAAGAAATTAGATGAAATCTACAATGATAATAAACGAAACATTAGATTCCATTTTGTTGTTTCTGAAGACAAGTTTGGTAACTATCCAGAACAAAAGTTCCTATATCAAAATGGAAAGGTAAAGAAGACTAATAGATTAATAATGTTAAGGGTTAAACAATATGTACTTGAGATCTCTTATACAGCATTAATTTAAGTTAATATCAGGTAACTATCAAAGTACAATTATATTTTAGGTTAATTTTGATATGAATTAGTGTGATGCTTGTTAAAGTCATATAATACTTTTTTTTTAATTTTGAAGTCAAATAATCATGTCAATACTAATACTTTTTTTTTGCTTGTTAATAAAAAAAAAATGATTACTAAGCTACCTTTTTTACTAAATTTGTATTCCATTTGTTAATTTTGTTTAGTTTGTTATTTTATTATTATTTTTTCTTAATTAACCTTTTTAGCCTTTTTGGTTTTTTGATGTCATACGAGAAATTTTCTGTTTTTTATAAATATTGCTTTGCTTTGCTTTGCTATGCTATGCTATGCTATTGATATTTGCTTATACTATGCTTTTGCAACTCTGTACTATTCACGATGCTATTCCTATGCTATGCTATTTTGCTAAATGCCTTCACTTTTTTTTCTTCGTAAAAAGGTTCTTTATATAGAAAGTAAAAATTTTTTTATTGGATTTAAAAATTTGCTGAATTATTAATTAAAATAAATACAAGATATAAAAAAATATTTTCAAGATAATATAGTTAAATCATTGACTAGATCAGTTGATTTAAAATTTAAATAATGAAAACCTCAACAAGTCAAATATTTTAACCTGAACGTATTGAATTAATATAGATGATTAATACAGTCACACCTCGATATAATGAAGTTGCTAATCCAGCAAATCAGGACTTCATTATAAGAATTTTCATTATAGTGTTAACGAATTATTTGTTATAGTAGATGATTACTGATTTCATTACACAAATATAATTTTACTATAATATAATTTTTTCAGAAATATTTTGTAAATTCTAGTCATTTTATTTTAACATGCAATCTGTTAATCGTTGTATGACAGTTTTATTAATT